TCACGAGTAAGTCGTATGAGCCAGCCATCACTACGCTCGATAATATTTTAAGCCCAATTTACACTCAGCCCGAGTGGGCAGGGAAGTGAGCATGGAAGTGTGCAGCGCGAGAGTGTAAACACGAGTGGAAACACTTCCCATGCCATTAGCGCTGCCACTCGCGCTGCCCGGCGCTCCCTCGATTGTTGTTTTTTCGCGCGAGTCAAAGGACTGGCAGCGCGAGTGGCAGGGGAAGCGGATGAATGTAAACGTAGTATTAGAGAGCCCAATGACCCGGCCCACCACGCCGCTATATGTATGATGTATATACCTTACGGATATACATATTACTGTAATAAAAAAAAACCTGTACCCTATTACGTCACGGTGTAAATGTAACCGTACTAGAACTATTAATCAACCCCCAGTGTTGGGGGTTGGGTATGTTGAAAGCTAACATTACACCTACAACTTTAAATGTGACTTTAACGATCCCGGTCTAGCGGTTTAGTCCACTGCCGCACTTTCTGATGGTCGTGAGTTCATTTCCTGTATTAATACATAACATTTATATGTATATTCTTATTAATATTAAACGTGAAAGTTTGTGAGTATGGACGGATGTTTGTTGCTCTTCCACGCAAAAACTACTGATCGGATTTTGATGAAACTTTACAGTAATATAGCTTATACATCAGAATAACATATAGGCCATAAATTTCACGCGAGTGAAACCGCGGGCACAGCTAGTATAATAATAATAATAAGGTATCCCCCTTGGACAATTCACACAACGCCATCTAGTCAGAAGCTCAGACAACTGATATAAATAGTTAGATATTTTTTTTGTAAATACATATATAATATATATAGAAAACACCCAGACCGATACAAACAATCATACTCATGAATACAAATGTTTGTACTAGGCACCCGATATAAATTCTTAGATTAAAAAAAACAGCTCCTTGATATCTATACATATAGATAAAATTGGAGTGTCTGTTTGTAATATTGAAATAACCATTTTTTATTACATGCATATGAATATAAATACTATAAAACAAAAAAAAAATGGATTTAGGGCCCAATGAGACTGGCAGGTACTATTACATTGCACAAAAGTCCCTAAATTTAAAAAGAAATAAAAAAAAAACGTATTCAGTCCTGATTGACCTAGATCCCGTAAACTCTACAATTACTTCACTGAATGTCTGCCTATAAAACAGACGAAGCTGTGACTGAATTTGCTCAATAAACTGGAAGACTAAGATACGCTAGACTTCAGGTCACTTTGAAATATATTGTACACTTCGGGACATGGAAAGTGTCGCACCGTATTTTTCTGACTTACATATAAATTATATAAAAATTTCATATAAAATCTTATCTTTAATAAGGAACTCAATCATTATGCTCATAATACTCAATCATCAGGACGTGGACAGAGACATAAATATATGAATTAAATGTATAAAATTATAAATTACTAACATAGTTAATAAGTTGTTTACTAACATAATATGGATGGATAAATATCCGAAATAAATGAAATAATAAATAATAATAATTATCATTACATAATAAAAAACAAATCGTTGTCGCTGTCTGTCCATCCCTATGTATTCTGAAAACTACGCAACGGTATTTGAAGCGGTTTTTTTAATAGATAGAGCGATTAAAGAGGTAGGTTTATATATATAATATATGTACACTCATGCAAAGCCGGGGCGAGTAGCTAGTATAGTATAAAATAAAGTCACTGTCGATGTCTGTCCCTATGTATGCTTTAAACTTTTAAACTACTAACGGATTTTGAAGCGTTTTTTTTAATAGATAGAGTGATTCAAGAGGTAGTTTTATTTATATAGTACATGTTCACACACACACACATATATTCATACATACACACTCTCATTCACACCAATGCTCACCTTTTCGATTATACATCCACAAATTTATTCCCTACATTTTACACACAAGTCCCATAGCTATTAATACAAAAGGATAAACATGTAAAATGAACACAATAATAAGTCACTCCAGTCTCTACAATACAGGCCTGCGAGCCTAGTGTAGAACTACAGAAAATTAAAATGTAAATGTGTATCATGAATAAATATTATTATTATTATTATTATTATTATTTTTTTTTTTTTCATTATTTTTTTTCGACTTTCGCCGGTAATCTTGGTATGTACGGGCCTAAGCCAAGTACATAACAATGTTCTATATCAGGTGGATATACAAATGTAGGCCTAATCTATCTGTAGAAACTTTCTAACAATCCGGCATGTATTTAGAACTACAGCCTTCTGTAGTTGGCAGTATATATTAGGGGGCAAGTTCAGGGTATTTAGTGACTGATGCATGTGTTTCGGTATATTATTATTATTATTATTATTATTATTATTATTATTATTATTATTATTATTATTATTATATAGTACATGTACACCCGTGCGAAGCCGGGGCGAGTAGCTACTTTTATATACAAAATTCTCGTGTCGCAAAGTTAGTTACCATATTTCTCTGAAACAGCTTGACCGATTTTTATTCTTCATTATCATCTCTTATTATGTCCCGAGGTGTATCAAACAAAACCAATTACCCATTCTGTCATCTGCAGAAACTATTTACAATTACACTGTAACTTCTTTGGTTTCTATTCGTATATCTTATTCTATCGTCTGTGGTACATCTAAGAATATGTGGTATATAAGTTACTAGCTACTCGCCCTGGCTTCGCTCGGGTGTACATGTATTTTTTTTTTTTTGGATGATAATGGAATGGTGCACCCGCCTGCGCTAACGGTTTACGCTGGCGGGGCACCAGTGGAAGATGATAAGATGAGCATGAGGCCAGGTCAGTTAGCCCATCGTAACAAGCTCACCAGGAATTTGTTACGATAGTTTCCAGGGGGAACCGCGTGGAGGTCGACCTGACATTGTACATTGCTAGCAATGGGGTTATCAATCCACATTACTAACAATCCCCTTTCCCCCTCCGTGTACATGTATTATACATATAAACCTTTCTCTAGACAGTGTGGCTAAGGCAATTTGTGCTTTGGGTGCTGTTTGTAAGAACTTATTAAATTTTATTGGTTAAATCTATATATATATATAACTCAAAGGTGACTGACATAGTGATCTATCAACGCACAGCCCAAACCACTGGACGGATCGGGCTGAAATTTGGCATGCAGGTAGATGTTATGACGTAGGCATCCGCTAAGAAAGGATTTTGATTAATTCTACCCCCAAGGGGATAAAATAGGGGATGAAAGTTTGTGTGAAACTTCGTCAATTTGAAACCGATCGGGCTGAGACATCGCATGCATAAAGGTACTATGACGCATCCCCTAGGAAAGGATTTTGATAAATTCTACCCCTAAGGGGATAAATTAACGCGAGCAAAAGCAAGTTATAAATAATGTTAGTTATATCCCTGCGAAATGGCTTGACCGATTATTATGAAATTTTATATTCATCAGTAGGTCTGAGAATCGGTTACTATCTATTTTTCATACCCCTAAGTGATAAGGGTTAAAAAATAATAGGGGTGTCCACCCCTAACATTATTTTTTATTTTATGAACAAATTTTATTTTCTCATTTTATTATAATGTGGCATTAAAAATACATACAACTCTAAATTTTCACCCTTCCACCAGCAACCCCTATTTTTTAATAGCGATACGTACTTAATTAGGCAAAACAACGTTTGTCAGGATATTTAGTATAAATATATAATCGTTTGTCTCGCAGTGTACAAACCGGGCCAATTACAGTGACACTTTTATTGCATCCTGCAACACAGTGTAATACTGTCTGTTCGTGGAACTAGCAGTATTTGTAATAAACGTCGAACAACAGAATGTTATGTAAATGTAACATATTACAGTTCAAAGTAGTTACATTAATATGTTTATAACTAAATAACCTCGTGTTTTACAGTTAATTACTTATTACATTCTGTAAGTTACAAATTTAAGGTAATAGTAGTTTTGAATTTTCAATACTACTTTTGACATAAAATTGTTAGATCATTTTTAAATATGAATTAAGAATTTGAGATATACTAGTATATAAGATATAGTTTAGCACACCGCTTTTCTTCATATTCTTCATATGGTCGCGGGTTCGATTCCTCGCATGGTTCAAAGAATTACAGTGACACTTTTTTTGTATCCTGCAGCACAGTGTAATACTGTCTGTTCGTGGAACTAGCAGTATTTGTAATAAACGTGGAACAACAGAATGTTATGTAAATGTAACATATTACAGTTCAAATTAGTTATATTAATATGTTTATAACTAATTAACATCGTGTTTTACAGTTAATTACTTATTACATTCTGTAAGTTACAAATATAAGGTTATAGTAGTTTTAAAAATGCCTAAATTAATAAATCATAGTACTATTAGATTCTTATCGAATTTAAGGTAATAGTAGTTTTTAAAATGTCTACATTAATAAATCATTGTACTTATTAGATTTTTAACGAATATAAGGTTATAGTAGTTTTTAAAATGCCTAAATTAATAAATCATAGTACTATTAGATTCTTATCGAATTTAAGGTAATAGTAGTTTTTAAAATGTCTACATTAATAAATCATTGTACTTATTAGATTTTTAAAGAATATAAGGTTATAGTAGTTTTTAAAATGTCTAAATTAATAAATCATAGTACTATTAGATTTTTATCGAATTTGAGGTAATAGTAGTTTTTAAAATGTCTATATATCTTAATATGTACACACTACAACACAGTTTATAAGTTGTGTAGTAACACAATATGGATGTAATCCGAATCATTACATAGTATAAAATAAAGTCGCAGTCGCTGTCTGTCCGTCGCTATGTATGCTTAAATCTTTAAAACAACGCAACGGATTTTGAAGCGGTTTTTTTAATAGATAGTGATTCTAGAGGAAGGTTTATATATATAATACATGTACACCCAGGCGAAGCCGGGGCGAATAGCTAGTTAAATATATAAATAAGTAGACTTGCCTGCATGTTACATATCTTGTATCTAACAGGTTCTCCCCTACATCCCGAAGGGGATGAACACGTGCGCAGCTGACGCGAGACACCCCCGTCGCACGTGCGTGAACACAAGGACCAATCACTCCATTGTGACCATCCGCCATGTTCCTGTAAACAAAATGTCATAATATTAAATACACGTTAAGGTTAAAAACACCTATTATATACACATATTTATTTTCAAAAATGATGGATGGATTGTGTTAAAGATGATATGAATAACAGTAGAGTATGCTCAGATAGGCAAGAGAAGGGGGAGGGCCTCCAGCAAGGAGGACTGACGATCTGGTCAAGATCGCTGGAAGGCATTGGATGCGAGCAGCGCAGGACCGATCGTCGTGGAGATCTTTGGGGGAGGCCTATGTCCAGCAGTAGACGTCTTCCGGGCTGCGATGATAATGATGATGATGCTCAGATATGACGGCTGGTAGAGCGCAGTGGAAGAGAATGAATTTGAATTTAAATGAATCTGTTTTATTGTAAACATGTACAACATTTATTTAAAAAAAAAATACGATCTGAGTTTCTTGTCAGTTTTTCTCATCTCGAAATCATTACGAACTGACGGTAGATTTGACATATCATAAGAGTCCGTAATTTTGAATGACATACTGCGCTGACAACAAATAATGGGATAAAGGCAAGGCAATGATGATGATGATGATTTATTGTCAGACTTTAGTTTTGCACATTTTGAAAGAAAGAAGATTGAATTTTTTTTATTGTCCACCTTTATTAACAAATATAAATATACTTACATACAATCAATATACATACACTACGAGATGGATTTATGTTATTTTGTTTAATTCCACTACAATTAGGGGGTTGGTGAAGGTGTAGATTGGGCGGCTTCTCTATCGGAGACCCGCAGATTGCGTCTCGGATCGAATGCCAAAGCGCATCCGAGAATACGGCGACTAATCGTGGTTTGTGAAGAACAATGAAGGATGGGGTTGGTGAAGGTGTAGATTGGGCTGCTTCTCTATCGGAGACCCGCAGATTGCGTCTCGGATCGAATGCCAAAGCGCATCCGAGAATACGGCGACTAATCGTGGTTTGTGAAGAACAATGAAGGATGGGGTTGGTGAAGGTGTAGATTGGGCTGCTTCTCTATCGGAGAACCGCAGATTGCGTCTCGGATCGAATGCCAAAGCGCATCCGAGAATACGGCGACTAATCGTGGTTTGTGAAGAACACTGAAGGATGGGGTTGGTGAAGGTGTAGATTGGGCTGCTTCTCTATCGGAGAACCGCAGATTGCGTCTCGGATCGAATGCCAAAGCGCATCCGAGAATACGGCGACTAATCGTGGTTTGTGAAGAACACTGAAGGATGGGGTTGGTGAAGGTGTAGATTGGGCTGCTTCTCTATCGGAGAACCGCAGATTGCGTCTCGGATCGAATGCCAAAGCGCATCCGAGAATACGGCGACTAATCGTGGTTTGTGAAGAACACTGAAGGATGGGGTTGGTGAAGGTGTAGATTGGGCGGCTTCTCTATCGGAGACCCGCAGATTGCGTCTCGGATTGAATGCCAAAGCGCATCCGAGAATACGGCGACTTATCGTGGTTTGTGAAGAACACTGAGGGATGGGGTTGGTGAAGAGTTTGTTCATATATCACATCTCTTTACGCAATCACGAATGTTTCACAACTAAAGAATCTTGAGTCTTGAATCTAGAGTTTGTATGTGTGTATAAGACTTTGTATAAATACTTGATGAATTTTTATTATTTTGTTTAATTCCGCTACAATTGGCATGTGTGCGAACACAAATATTCGGTGTGGAAACCTGACTACCGTTACGATCTTCTCTAGTGGTGATCAAATTCCGACCGTTATTGAGTCTACATACATATTGCGACACGTGTTTCGCCTCTGAATGAGGCATCATCGGACAGAATAGAATAGAAAATCATTTATTCAAATAAACTTAATTTAAGCAGTTTTGAATAGTCAACATTTTTTTAAATCTACCGCTTATTTGGAAAGCTGTCTCATCACAAGAAGAATAAGCAAGAAACTTGTGTGTTGCTCTTTTAAACAATCCTTGTAAGTTCACATTTTACAAATCGAAACGTGTGAATACAAACTACCAACCAGCACTAATTTATTTAGGCTCAAATATAAAAACACAATAAGATTAAATCAGTCGTACGTAGACATTGAATAAAGTCCGGATATAGCTTCGAAGGCTAGCGTTTCCAAGGGAATTTGATTGCCAATAGAGATGGTCGTAACGGTAGTTAAGTTTCCACACCGAATATTTATGGTCTCATACACAGATGAAACCGCAGGCACAGTCAGTATTTCATAAATATCCATATACTAATATTATAAACGCGAAAGTTTGTGAGTACGGATATCCATCCGTGAATATCCATCAGATGGATGGATGTATGTTTGTTACTGTTTCATGCTATAACTACTGATCTTCTCTATCTTATCTATCTTATCTTTTTTAAATTATTATTTTTTCCTTCAAAGTTTTAACAAAAATTTACAGAGAAGTATTATGTATCATTTTAAAAGAATTCTTTTTCTTCTACTTCTAATTTTGAAAAATGACAAATTTCTATTTAATCGACGATGTATTTTTATGTGTAATTAGTGATCTAAAATATCTGTCAGGCAGAAGTTGGGCTTGAGTCGCTCTATAAGTCCATTCGCCTGTTTGGAGTGTTTGGAGTACCACTACCCCTAGCCGCAAAGATCGCCACCAGCATAATAATAGTTCGAAAAAAAAAATTAAGTCATTCGAAATTTGAAAAAACAATTTTCCAACGCAAAGGATCCGTGAAAGGATGAGAGAAGAAATAATTAGGAAAGGGTTCATCCCTTTGTCCCGAGGTAGTCACGTCGCTCGGGCGGTTCACACGACATTATTATATTTATGTTTTGAAGAACCCGCAGAGCGTGTAAGGAAGATTCACGCGCGTGATATTTTTGCATAACACTGACCGGAATATGTAATTACAGAGTGAAATCCCGCCAGGGTTGCCAACAATCAAACATATCGCTTCGTACTATAAAATCGGTACGTCGCGTCGCACTGAGTCACTCATGTTGTAGATTTATTTAATTGTTCTAAGTGTGTATGTATGTATGTGTATATGAGTGTGTGTGCATATATATATGTATATGTAAGATGTACCTTTGTCAAATGTGTAAATGTAATAATGGTTGTAAATAAATGTTTTTCTTTCTTCTTTCTTTCTTTCTTTCTAATTTGTGTATAGGTAAAACGAAAAAGACTAGGTAAAGAACTATTGACAAATAGAATGATGTATCAAAACAAGACTGTAAAAGAACACAAATCAAATAAAAATATAGAATAGAAAATACATTTGGTTAGCAATACAACAACTCGTAAACCTATTTACGAGCTCTGAAGGGATTGAACCTCTCTTAAGGTAAGATGCTGTGATTTTAATTCAAATTCAAATTCAAAATGTCTTTATTCATGCAAGTCTATTACAGACTCTTATGATATGTCAAATCTAACTTCAGTTCGGAATTATTTCGAGATGAGAAGAACTGACAAGAAACTCAGCTCGTATTCTTTTCAAATAAATGTTACAATAATGCAGACTTACTATTAAATTCAAATTTGGGAGAATAGAGTGACCACCAGCATATGCTATTGCAAAAGCAAATAGTCTAATCAGTGTTCGTAAGGCGAACAGACCAGTCCCCACAAGCAGCACCCATTCACGAGTATGATGTATGAGCCAGCCATCATTGCACTCAACCATATTAGAGGGAGCACATTGACCCGTCCCACCAGGAGGGGAAAGGGAATTGTTAGTAATGTGGATTGATAACCCCATTGCTAGCAATGTACCATGTCAGGTCGACCTCCACGCGGTTCCCCCTAGAAACCATCGTGTAAAATTCCTGGTGATTTTGTTACGATGTGCTAACTGACCTGACCTCATGCTCATCTTATCATCCTCCACTGGTGCCCCGCCAGCCCAGCCGACCAGGCAGCCCACCAGGCCGCCACAAGGTTGACTTATTATTTAATTAATTATTTTTGCATTGTAGTGCAAAAACATCGACCCCTTGATTTTCTAGTTGGCAACCCTAAATCCCGCAGACAGTTCATACTGAAATCGCGGCGAGACGCCGGCTGAGTCGGGACTGCGCGAAATCGTGTGTGTTATTTATAAAAAACCTCGAATATTGTTTGATATTTGATTTATTTTATTTGTATGATATTTACTACGTTTATTATTAATTAATAATATCTATGTATTTGTATCAGTTGTCTAGTAACCATAACAAAAACTTTAGCTAGATTAACTTGGGACTAGATGGCGCTGTGTGAGTAGTCTAAACAGATAATATGAAGCAAAAATATATATATGATAACGGTGGATAATCCACACAGCGCCATCTAACTTGTGTTATGTACTAGACAATTGAAAGAAAATCTTAAATAAAAACAATTTTTTGTTAATACATACATAATATACATAGAAAGCACCCAGACCAATATAAACGTCATAATCATGAATACATTTTGCACAGTGCGAATCGAACCCGTGACCATTGGAAGTAAGGCGGTGTGCTACCACAAGACCACTGGCCGTCTAATACTTTTAGAATAATTATAAATTCTATCAGGGGCAGTAGGGGTTATAAATATGTATAACAAAATAATTGGTATTGATTTTATTTATAAAATACCAGTTTTTTTATTTTAAAATATGTTTTTTATTACGTAACAGTTATATTCGGTATTATCGGGTGACTATGCTATTGAAATTCAGGTATTGCATAAAGGTATGAAGCCATGATATCTTGGCCTTCAGGAATGGCATACCATTTACTACTAGTCGAAATAAAAATACATAGATACGAGTGGGTAAGTACTCGGGTAGTATATCTAGGAGATCTGGGTTCAAATCCTGTCGGATCGAGATTTGGGAAGATTTCAAAAGTATTAGAATAAAGCAGTTGTGTTTTACAGACAAAGTTATTAATGTCCTGCTATTTTTTTCTGGAACTTTCTGTTGGCCAACCAAGACTTCCAATACTAATGTTATGTCCTATTATTGAAAACAATAATACTACCGCCATTTACAATATTAGAAGATAGCATG